TTATCGTACAGGGTGCGTAATGTAATTAGCAGAGGTTTAAGTAATGGCCGTCAAACCGTCCGCGCTTCGGGCCAGAAAAAGAAGGGGGAATAAAATCAGTGTGACGTTTGGCGCGCAAAAAACAAACTAGGAATCCACGTCAGTGCGCTTATTCAATAATTTACAGGATCTTTGCGTTGACAGAGGTTTCAAAGTAATAAAATTTAAGTAAAAAATAAATGTAGGATTCGTGGAGGCGGGGATTTCGAAAGATGCCCCCCCTTCCAATAAATGTAAAAATAACGGGAGTAACAAATTGTAAGTGTTCTGCCAAGTGCGCAAATGACTCGCGGCAGCATTTGTTAGAGTGGCAGCTACGGAGAAGAACATTAATCGAATTTTCAAGAAAAAAAAGTATATGATTGATTTTTTTTACAGTTCCATTGGCAAAATTGAATTCAGTTTGACTATTAAATTCGCTCCTCTTTGGTTTATACTGAATTACTTCTATTATTTCTTTGTTTTTTTTTTAATCGTAACTGTTTGCCCATCGGTAATAACCTCTCAAATATTGAAAGTTTTTTTAGACAGCTTGGACTCCCCTCCCCTCCCACAGAATTATGCCCAAACAAAACAATAAAAACCAAGTGATGGGTTTATTTTTTTTTTATTGGTGCTACATCTGTTGAGGCTTGAACACGTTGCCTATTGGAAGACTATGATCCTGAGAAATGAACAGCCGCCAATAATAATGACCATCATGTCAGCATTCATTAGGGTGGACTCCAGTGCACATGATAACTGCAAATTAGTGTTCATTACCACTCAGACTTGCCGACTAACCATGCCTAAATTTGTTCTCTCCTCTTAAAAAAAACCCACCGGAACCAATAATAATATCGCTGTATATGGTCCCCCCCGGCATACAATGCTTGGGGCACCGCCTCGCGCTAGTCCTTTTCATCGGGCTTGGAGCGGCGTTGGCCGGGCCTTACGAAGGGCTAGTGAATTCGGCGAAAGTGTGAACGACTCCTTGCCGCAATCGGAAGTAAGCCTTCCACGCTCTAGTGAGTTCGGGCAGGGCAGTGCACCCGCAATCTTCGCAGACAAAAGTGGGAGAGACACTCACGAGACATGCCCATACTCTGTGATCGCACTGACATTAAAAACATTGACAGGATTTCTGTTTTTAATGTATCATGAACCTGGAATTTAGACTCATTTATCGCGAAATACAGAGTGGTGCAAAAAGAAGGAAACCCATTTTTGACAGAAATGTTAACCTACTTACTGAACTTATTTGGACTGTTTTTATAATGTAGTGAAGTATTGCTCTTCAACCATACATGGTAACCAAATCTTTTTAAAAATCGCAAGAATAGTGTTATTATGGTAATTTGAATTCAAGTCAGCAAAATCACTGTTGCCCACATGATTGTAAGTCTAGTGTAGGGTTTTTTTAATCTTAAAATCAAGCTCCGGAGCTTAGTCAAGAATAAAGCCGTCCGTGGACACACAGGTTGGCACATGAATTATTTAAACTAACATATCTCAGAGAAGAATATGCATTTGCAATAGTTTTTTCGTCACTTATGTTTAAAGATCAATATTTTAATACCATCAAAATTGAATTTTTTTAAATATGCTCAAAAGTATAGGTGAAAATTGCTGTCAAAAGTGGGTTGCCTTCTTTTTGCACAACCATGTATAGTGAATGTCGACATAACCCATCTGCGTGGCTTTAAAATAGATCAATGGTGCAAAGATTCATTTCATAATATTTTCCACAACTGTACCATGTGATATGTTCGTTCATGTTTCGTGGCTGGTGTGCTATCATTGTTTAGGGTCTGTACATTCAAGAGCGATCGTGAATCTGTGCACGTCATTGCGCATGCGCAGTCTTGTTTATGCCGATCCGAGGTCGGGGAGCTAACTCAATACTGTGTTTTGAATTAATGTTAAACATCGGTAAACAAGTGGATGTTTAGACCAGTCGAACTAATGAGTGCCTCCTTGTTTTTAAGATTAACCCGAAGTTAATAAGAAAAGCACAACTGTCCTCTGTCCGCTTCTTTTGTGAACTTTTTAAAATGGTTATTTTCTTTTTTTCAAAGGATTCTATATGCAGAAATGCTTGTTTACAATCTACTAAGGAACGCCATTTCATCCCAAAATAGCTAAAAGAGAGACAAAGCAAGCCTTTTAATTTGCTGACAAAAGTTTTCAAGATGTTTGGACTGCAAACGGGAGGTTAACCGAAAGGAAACATGCCCGCGTGAAAGACGCATAAAAGATCAGAGATCACTGCTGTTTCTGTGCTTCATGAATTATGCTCAATCTAGTGATATCTTGATTTCCGTATATTACCGCAATTGTCCAATCTGGTGAAACAAAAGAAATCAATGATCCAGCAAGACGGTAGTGTTTTCTTTCTTCAAGAGTCCCGTCCCTGGTCGTTAACCCCTCTCGCTTCATACCTGTCATTGCTGGCAGTTTTCTCCTCGAAATTCATTAGGGGCTCGAGAGCGCGTCTGGTAATTGACGTAATTAAGTCAAAGACAACTTTAATTACCGCCACGTCGCAACCCTCCTGCCCGTTACACGAGCATAAATTCCACGGTGACTGTGCGGCGGCAAAGACCCTAAAAGAGGAAGAAAGTTAAAGAAAGTGCGGGGGAAGGGAGAGAAAAAATTGTCAAAACAAATCGCTGTCCCGAACTTGGGAAGACATCCTCGCCGCTTCCTCGCCCCCTACACTCCTGCTTCGCTCTTGTGACCGTATATCGGAGGTTGCCCAAAGTTAGGCAGGTTCCCCCTCCTTTCGCCGAATCAAGTGCACACATCAAGTAGAGAGGCAAACGCGGGTAGGCGCGATAGCTGGCTAGAAGTGGGGGAGCTCAAAAAACTGTCGAAAAGAACAAGTGATGAGCACGGCAGGCCCGGGCCACCAAAAATAATACCGATAAGTGCACTCACTTTCAAGTGCCGACCACAAACCCGTTCGAGCAAGAAAAAACCAGCCGTGCTTTCCCTCGACTCAAGAGCCGCGATGCCGCTCGGCCAGAAGGATGTCTCGGGCCCGATGAATTATGTAAAACCAACTAGCCAAGTATTTTTACAGTATAATTTTCACACAGCGGGTTAACAAAAATGTATGATGGAAAATCAAAAAAGAGGGGGTGAAAAATGGTCGGGAAAACATTCTTGGATGTTTGGACGACCGCGTGGCTCGTAAAGTTATACGGAATCTGTGGAGTGTCTCTCCCGAGTGGTGCGAGTAAACACAGCGATGGGCAATCACCCTTCGTCCATGGTGACGAGATGTAATTAAACAATTCACCAAGGTACTCCCAAAGCGTCAAAATACTCTGTTTAAGTTCAAGACAAGTTGCTTGTGTTTTTTTTTTATTCACGACTGGCGGCGTGCTTCTATTATACCGTCACATGATCTGATTATTTTCCCGTGCGGCCACCTGGATTCGTTTGAAGTCGATTCGGCGCGGTATACTTTCTAACTCTCATTAAGACCCTGGTATTCCAGACGAAGCGCAAGAAAAATGGAAAACTCTAAATACCAAATTTAATGAGAATGTTTATACCGGTAATCTTAATTTACTTTCATTGAGATGTATCCAGTTATATTTTAAAGCATGCATCACTATCATTTTTTTGATAAAAAAAAGACAGACAAAATGTCACCAGTTAGCTGGTAGCCTAAGACGCAAAGAAAAAGATTTGCATTACAGAAAAAAACTCCATTAATGTCTTCTCGTCGTCGTTACTCTTAAAAGGTGTCTCTGCTGATTTTGTGGTATATTTAAGTCAAAAGTCATGTCTGAATTCAACAGAAAAAGAGCCCTGTTCATTGTAGGCCCATTTTTCATTCTTCTTTGTCGTAAACAGCGTCCTTATAATGTGCGTCATCTTACTGTAGAAATCCAGTGTAGAGACTGAGCAGTGGTACCAGCGAAGAATCACCCGTGACAACAGCGCGTATGTCTGTCGTTGGCGGCGCTGTCTAAGGCCAAGCGACTAGCCTCCTTCCGTGGTCATTGGCCTTTTGCTGCTTATGACGACACCCCCCCCCTTATAATGGATAGTATAATCCGGCCCTGCCTAACCAGGCGTTATGGCCAGACCAGACGGTTTCTTCAACATACCACGCCCCTTTGGGCTGACCAGCCAAAATACCCAGTGTCCAGTGAACTGGACAAAAAAAGTCCAGACTATTTTTTCGATCGACGGTTGGTCACAGTTGACCAATGCCATACGGAGGGAACTTCGGACCGTTCGGGGCGGCGCATTGCGCAAACATTATGGTTCCGTGACCTGACCCAGCAAACAAAACAACGCAACGGACTTCACCAGATCGATACAGTCTGTGTCTTTTATGTATTCCCCAGTGGATTCGTGGAATCTCACGCCATTTGAACTTCTTCTAACGATTGCTTTTATCGTCCGCCAGACCGGAAAAAAAGCGTGAAAATCGATCTTAACATGACAACGGTACGGCAAGGAGGAGATTACTATGTTCATTTGAGCTTCGAGTCACATTTACCATTTTTGTTCATTCTGTCGCCGTTAAATACCACATTGAATTAAGGTCTGTATTTGAATTTAGATTAAGAAAATGTAAAATCTATCCATAAATCGGAGACCTCTAAGATTTCAAATACGAACTCCGCGCCGTCCGCACTCATCTGGCTTAACGACAAGAATTTTCAAGCTTTTTTTCAGAATCCGGAATGACGTCACGCGTGCCTCGTCCAATGACGATCGGCAGACGCGGCAAGCTAGCGACTCGCACGTGCGGCCGGCAACTATACGGCAGCGTGCATATTTTAAGCGCAGGAGAGAGAGCGGGGAAAAAAAGATGGATAGTCTTACGCGCGGGTCTCTACGAGATATTGATTAATGTTAGATAGGCCGTAATCACCGCATTGGCTTTCCTCCTGACTGGCTGACAGTCACTGCTCTCGGCCCGGATCGCGCTGGCTCTGCTCACTAGGGGGAGACTGATGCGATCGTCTGGCAAAAAAAGGAGAGCCAGTGAGAAAGGAGGAAAGGAGGAAAAGGAGAGAGTTGGGACTAGGGATGCGGTCGAGGCGTGGCAAGCGGACGCAGACTCACCTTCCCTCGGCTGCCGTCTGGAGGTGACTTCGTCATCATCATCATCGTCGTCATCATCATCATCACTCTCTTGCCTGGCTCTCTGTCTCTCTCTCTCTGACCGGGGGCTCGCGGAGCAACCAGGGTTTGAAGATGATGACTGACTAGCATCCAGCCACCCCCGTCACTACCGTGTATAGCTCGGACACTGATGAGTGCTAGTCCCCCACTGTAGGTTTATTGTGGCATGATGAGAGATATATTTTTAAGGGGGAACGGGAGCTGCATCTTTTTTTTTCATCTCTCTCTCTCTATGCGTGGCATCACTGCTCGTGCTTAAATCGTAGCCCTTTGCCATTGGGGCTTGCACGGTTAGATGCGGGGTTAACCCGAGTGTGATTTCGGTCGACCTGGTTTTGTCGGAATTTTCTGTCTTCAGAAGTGCCGATGTAATATGTTAGTTTTTTTTATTAGACAGGTGGAAAAGAAATTTATTATAGAATGCTATTTTAGTTTTCTAGTCTGCAGGATTTCTTTTAAGGCTATCTACTTGACTTTGACTGTTGCATGCGCGCTTGAAGCGTCGTTGATGTACAACGCAGCGAAAGGAATTGCAGTCTTATCTTTGTAATAACACTGCAACAGAACATTTTCTATGTATTGTAAAGCGATTTTATATTTCGAAATCGTTAGTGATTTTTGTTTCCTATTTTTGTCTTTCTTGACAGGATCAGCCACGTCTGGGAACCACACCTCTAGCCATGCTAGCTGCCACCTGCAACAAGATTGGTACCAAGACCCCACCCCCATCCATGACTGACGTCTCCACCCCACAGACCAAAGGTTTCCTTCCCTTTAAGAAGACGTCCTCCATGTCCGACCTGCCCACGGCCCTGGCCGACTCCAGAATGCCCACCGTGTCCGCCTCGACAGCTAACGGTTTCACTCCGTACTCGCTCTCCCCGGCCGTGGCCATCCACAACTCCTCGCTGACCAGTTCCACCGCGGCCGCTGCCGCCTACAACGAGATGCTTGCCCATGGAAGGACTTCGCTCAAATCCAGCGTGCCCTGGACTTCCACGGATTCCGCCTCCCAGCCGGCCATTATACACAAACTCCACGGCACTACGGCCGACCATTTAGTCAACGTGTGCCCCGGCGTGCCCATTTGCCCTCACCCGTACGACTCGTGGCTCAAAGCGTCCAGCGCGGCTGCGGCCAGCATCGCACGGGATTCCAGCTCCGGGTCGACCCTCAGCTGGTGGGAGTTACGCGGTGGCTCGAGTTGGCTGGACCTCCACCCTAGCACCGCCGTGGCTCTGAGCTCCCAGTTACCGAAATATTCCAGCTACGCCGCCGAGTGTGCAGCCTTGAATGCCGCACACCCTGTGTTTAGCACTCCGAGTCCCCACCCATTTATGACTGCCCCACCCCTCTTCACCCATGACAGTCTAGGATCTTTAGTACCGCCAGGTTGCGATCTGATGAGCTTGTCTCAAATGCGATCTCCTTTCCTAACACCGAGTGGATTCAGCGGATTGTCGCTGTCCTCTCGGGCCAACCGGCGGTACACCGGTCGAGCCACCTGCGACTGCCCTAACTGCCAGGAGAACGAGCGGCTAGCCGCGGCTGGACAACCCATACGCAAGAAGAACGTTCACACCTGCCACATCCCTGGTTGCGGTAAGATCTACGGTAAGACCTCGCACCTCAAGGCCCATCTCAGGTGGCACACAGGGGAGCGGCCGTTCGTCTGTAACTGGCTGTTCTGCGGCAAACGGTTCACGCGTTCGGACGAGTTGCAGCGGCACCTACGGACCCACACGGGCGAGAAGAGATTCGCCTGTCCCACGTGCAACAAGCGATTTATGCGTAGTGACCACCTCAGCAAGCATATCAAAACTCACACTGGTAACACCAGTAGCAGCAGCAGCAGCAGCAGTAGCAGTAGCACGAATAACAATAGCTCGTCAACTGCTAAGAAAAGTGCTGCTACCATAAGCGGGAGTGAGTCAGAGAGCAGCCCAGGTGAGCTTGGTAGCGAGGGTAACCCGTCCCCTCTCCCTTCAAAGAACACTAGCTCATCCTCCTCCTCGTCATCCAGAAACCAGCACGAGGTAAAGATGATCACATCTTAAGAAGACGAAAAGAACAGACTTCAGAAAACATTTCGTTTGTATTCGCTTCAAAACCACAGCCAGTAGTCTTGCAGTATTCTCGCGAAGTCTCGTCAAATCCCGAAATGTGGTGTGTGTTTATAGTTATCACTTTTTTTTTAAAGCAGGGAGACGCTTATTGTGGATTCCTCTTATGGAATATCGCGTTGCATTTTTGGCGGCGCCTGTTTCACTTACAACTACAGCAAAAAATAATTAAAAAATTGATTCAAAGTGTGTGGGTGAATGTGTGAATAATTATGACATGTATATAATACAGGCAATATGTTAACAGAACTTCTGTACACTTCCAAGTTTTGCGACTGAAATAGAACAACACGACCACGCTTTCAATACTTGCCACTCCCTGTACTGAAGATTTCCTTTGTAAAAAAAAGTTTCCTTTAATTCAGTCAAAAATTGATATACTCTTCGTTGTTTTGCACCTACAAACCTACACTTTTGAATTTGGGCTTTATTGCGTCGTAACCTTTATGTAAAGCGTCACTATTAAGTTACCTTTTTCTGAGTCATTGTTAAAATGTCATTTCTAATAAATGTATTTCATGTCATGGCATATTTTCAGAGGAAAAAACCCTCACAGGTTAAAAAAAGAAAGTGTTGGTGATAGTTTTCGACGTATCAAAACCATGTCCTCTCAAAAACATCTACCACCGACAATGTCAAAGGTCATGTAAGATGAATACATTCATGTTTGCTAGCAAATATTTAAGGCTGCCCTACTTGACTTGAAGGCTAACAATCTGAAGTACATGGCGGATTAGATTTTTGGATTAGCCACTTAAACAATAATTTTTTTAAAACCCGCTTGTACTGTTTGAGATATCAAATTCTCGAGTTGTTGTAGAAACATTGAATTACATACACGAAACTAAACTATGATCACATTCCGAATTAATTTGGCTCTCAAAAAATTACACATTTGTTCGACTACCTTGAAATTAAAGCATGGGCCTTTTTGTTTTCAAAAAGAATATTCACCATTTCAACGTGGGACTAGTATGCAAAATGACGCTGCTGGTTCTTCCTAGCGTCTGCATCATATCGTGTATTCAGTTTTTGTTTTAAAATTTGAATGCAATTTCGAAAAAAAACCACTTCTGGTGAAAATGGGGTTCTTAACTTCTTATTCAGTAACTGACTATGTATTCATCATGATACGTAAAATTCAGCATCAATAGTCTGAATAGAAAAAAAGCATAGACATTTACATAAACCGTAACAAACCGAAGACTTCTGAAGTGTGTGAAAGCGCGTGAAAAACAGTGAGAAAAAGCGGAGATTGTTTTAAACAAGTGAGTTGATATTTTAAAGTGCAAACTATTGGTGTATTACTTGTACTTCTGTTGAGTTTTTGAGTTGAGTAACCCAATGTCTTCTACCTCACGTTTAGGTTTAGCACAAGCTTCTCAAGCTTGACGTGGTTTTGTAGTGTTCATACACCTTCTTTATTGCTATTTCTACACCGGTGTCGAACACAAGGGCCTCAGCAATGCACATAATAGTTTCTTGATTAAATTTGCAACTCGTAAAATTTAATTTTTAAGCCCAAGTCTGCCGGTGTCTTCAAAGGCTTGAAATCTTATTCTTGCTGTAATCTGTTGAAATATGGTATTTCTTTAGCCGGGCTTTTTTGTTATTTGTGTTCTTGACGAACTGAAAGATTAGATCAAAAATCTTTATTGATAGGCTTGTGTCAAGCTTTTACCGAAGCTTTTATTAAATTTCTAATTCTGTGATGTACCGAATGAGGTTTTTAACAAGCCAATAACGTCTGCCTCCCCTTGTCCTACTACACAGTGGTTTCGACCGGAACAAAAAAAAGAGTGAATTTCATGCCAGATTTAGTTGGGAAAACAATTAAGAGAGCAAATAATTACTGCTTCGCTTTCCGTCTTTGTATTCTTGCTTATTGTGAGTAAATGTGGTGCAATGGCGATCTGGGTATTGATCCGTTAGGATTCAATCAGTGATTCTCAAATCAAAGAAATCACTGTTGTTTGTAACAAAATCGTGAGGGACTTATTGAGCTTTTATAACCGTTTTTTTTTTGGTCGTCACACGCGGGTTCTGTTCAATCATGTACAATTAACTTAAATTCGTAATTAGTAAATAGCATATCTGGGGAAAAATCCCGCAAAAATTGTAATATAAATCTGAAATTACAATTTTTTTGTAGTCTTTGCAACAGACTTTCAATATGTTTTCGATCTTTACTTTTTTTGTTTTTGTTTACTGCCCATGAGAAGGACTGAACTATATCCTTATGGTGTATTTGTATGACCAAGTCATGAATTTTGCACTCAGTTCAATGAGTACATTGATTCACTGAGAGAGAAAACAAAATCGATTTACATTGTGTATTCCAGATATTTAATTTTTGCCTACATATTTATATAGTTACGTCCAGTACATTTTACTTTGAGGAGGTATCAATAATTTAAGACGATCTGTTTCTGCTTATTTTACAACTTTTTTTTTTTAGCATAGACTTCACATGTCGATCTCTGTCGACCACTAGTATACAGACATCTGTGGAGATCAACCTGTCGAATTACAATCTCGTGCACCTTTGTATTCAAATTAATTTGGTTTGTAGTCGACACTGCCAAGAAATTTGGAATCTAAATTCTGCGCCAGTATTGCAGTCGTAAACACATTCGAGTTGGTTATTTTTCCTTTCATTTTTTGAAAAAAATTAACACGGACATATTTTACGTTCAGTCCTCGCCATATTTACACAAAGTGTGCAGGAATCCGGAAAACCAGATAGTAAGTTCTACCGGTATTAACTACCTAAAAAATGTACAAATTCAATTCACATACATGCACGAGGCTTGTTGTTATAGGTATTTGTTTTCAATGTAGGAGCTGCAATGCTCGTGTATAATGTTCAAAGCAATGTAGTCATGTTTCGAATCCACCGCTCGTTTTTACACTCTGATGTGTTTTATAAATACAGCTCTGTATTATGGTATGTAATGGGTGTACTTTTGAACACTGGGTGTTTGACAGTTTCGACAAACTCTTTCATTTTTTTCCGTCTTTTCTGGGAATTTTTGTTATTTGGTTTTATGAATAAGAAAAAAAGACTATATCAGTGCACATACTAGGCGCCTGTCCCACAGGTATGTACATATTTAAAATGTAAGAGTGTATAATTACCATAACTATAGAGTGTGGGGCTATAATATTATTAATATTATAAATGTTGAATAAAATGATTGTCCTATAGTGTAAACGTATTCTGTTTCGGTGTCCATCTTTTTCGTTGTAGAAGCTCCTTACCCAATAGAGTTGTGTGGGTTAACCGCGCCATTTTGTCTGATTCCCCGACGTCTGAACAAGGATTGTTACGAAAATTACATCATGTGGAACAGACTATTTTACACACAAGGGCCTTATTCTGAACTGCATATACAGTATGTCCCCAAAAATTGTCCGTCTGACTACAAAACCATGAAGTCAATTTTGAAAATTTGTGATTGTGCAGATACTCCTTATCCTTGGCCTAAACCCTTACGAGGTTCATTTAATTTCCCTCATGCCTCACTGCACTATGGTCAATTGATCACAACAACATTTTTGGACACTGTGACCAAGTTCCTCGCCTTAATCAATTTTAGTGCTGTGTCATGTAAGCTGTGTAAAATCCTGCATGTTATGAAAAAAAGGCTGATGTGGTTTTGGATTGGAATCATTTGTCCTTGAGCATTAAACTGAGGTCTTGCCATGATGACTGATAGCCAGGCAAATGATTCCAATCCCAAGCGCAGCCCTTTTCACAACATGTGCAGGATTTTACATGGCTTACATAACACAACACTGAAATTCAATCAATTGATTTTCGTTTGAAAAAAAAAACGACTTCAATTGGCATAAAATATCCACTAAAGTGATTCACTATTGTAATAGATAACACAATCAAAGTTTGAGCCTCTGGCTTTGTGAGGATGAAGTTTACCTCGCCAAAATTAATCATAGGATTTTCCTGATGAATTCACTGTTAAATTGTGTGTCTTCTGTACAGTGTTCCCCAACATTTGTTTTAGAGATGAACTTCTCCTTATTTTCTGTATAACTTCCTGGTATGTCCATGGGTGCGTGTGGGATTAGTGAAGGGATTAGCGAAGAACCTCTCTTTTTTTCTTGAGCGCTCCTGGATCAGGAAATCCACATTTCAAGACCCCATAGGCCTTTAAGGGTGGTGCAAAAAGAAGGAAACTCACATTTTGACAGGAATTTTAACCTATAAACTTAACTTATTTGAACTTTTTTTTTCATAATGTAGTGATAGCTCTTCAACCATACGTGGTGAAAAATCCTTTTTAAAAAAAAATCGCAAAAATAGTGTTATTATGCTCATTTGAATTAAGCTCCGGAGCACAGTCAAGCGGATGGAATAAAGCCTTCCGTGGACAAACTGGTTTTGGCACATGAAAATTATAAACTACATGTAATATATCTCGGAGACAAAATATACATTTGCAAACATTTTTTCGTCACTTATGTTTGAAGATCAATATTTTAATATCAATAAATTGAATTTTTGAAATATGCCCAACAAGTGGGTGAAAATTGCTGTCAAATGTGGGTTTCCTTCTTCAGCACACCAATTCAGCACTCCAAAAATACCAGTATGTTATTCCACCACCAACAAACAGACTAGCCTACAGCTAGACCTTTGAGTTGGAGCATTTTGTTAAGTGCGTTCGTTCGTTCGTCTGTCCATCGAATGATCACAAGAACGAATTGGAAGCACACCTTTCATCGCACTGTGTCAGATCAGAGTGGATATAGCAGCGAGAATTAGCGGCGGTTCAGGCCGGCCGTGTGGAGGTTCTCGACGGCGCGGGGAGCTGGTCGAGACTCGGTGACTCACAAGCTGCAAGCTCGTTGTTGAATGGTAAATGACTGTTATGGGTTTAAGTGAGAAGTCGGGGAAAGTGAGCGTGGGAGATGGAGCCAGTCATGAAAATGGGAAACAATTGTGGGGAAAAATAAGGGGAGATGCTAGCAAATGAAAACTGCGTTATCGAGACGGACTGTTTCTATCATGCTATCTTGAAGACATTTTAAACATCTTATCTATGGAAGAGGTGGACACTTTCACTGGAAAAGGCATTTGAGGGGAGCATTATTCACCCTGAAAAAAAGTAAATTAATAAACTAATTCCTGTCCAACTTTGGTCAAATTAATTATCAACTTCCTATACATTTGGGCAAATGCTTTCCAAATGTTAGTAACATTTTATGCAAATGTTAAATGAGGTAAGTCATACCATTGTTTCACCTCGTTCCAAGTGAACGGATGAGAAGAAAGGAGGTGATTGGTTTATGTGTAGGGAGGGGGGGGGGTATTTTCTGTAAGGGGCTCGGTTTTAAATCTTGTTTTTGACAAAATATCTTTGATGATCTCTGTAATCTACGGGACGGTCGGTTCCGAACTCTAAATACCGCTCGGGTAATTTCCGATAAACTGGAAAATGATTTATGGATCGAATTAGGGCTGGCAAAATGAATTCAGGTCAGGCTGGCTCGGGACAGAAAGTGGTTTCATCTTTTGCTTGATCCCGTGTCAGGATGAGTCGTTGAGATTCATTACAGGGGGATGTTAATCAAAATTACAGTGCTGCTAGGGATGTAAATATTAACGAGTCGGTTTGTGCACGCATAAAACCGCGAATTTTTTTTCAGGATAGGGGCGGGGCGAGGGCCTTTATGTAGGAGGGGCACAAAATAACGAAATATGTCAAGAAATCCCCAATTTTTCTGATTTTTTAATTTTCTAGAGTCCTTCATAACAATGTACTGCATAATTTTTTACCCGAAGAGGTGCCAGATCGATGTTAAACGGCGTGCCATTGTTGCCAATGCTGCTGTTCGGCTTACCCAAGTTTTTGTTCCATCTGTGGTCGATTTTCGATTCCCGGTTATACCCTCGTTTGGGGTATATTACTTCTATCGCTTTCTCGTTATATATGCGACAGTTTTTTTTTAATGAAATACGAAATTTAAAGTTTTTCTTCTTAAGAGGACTTCATAAAATCAACGATAAAATCAAAGATAAACGTCTTACGTTCTTCCTAAACCAAAGAGTTGGATAGTGTGCAGGTTTTACGAGACAGGCTAAAAAACAAATCTAGATTCATGATCTGAAAAATTCTTGTCGGGGGAAAGGGCTAGGGATATTTCTGCACGAGCGAGCAAGAGATCTGAGCAAGCTCCCGTCAAGCGTGTCGTAATCCCCGTCGACCGTATCCGCTAAACCGTGCCTCTAGTTCATCACGACCGGAGGGGGGAAAAGAGGTTTAGATAAAGTGAGCCGGCCACGCACTGATATGCACGGCCCATTATGCATTATTACTGGCTCATCTAACTGCTCTGATAACACCGTAAGAAAAGGAAGACACTTATAAGAGATAGAAGGGGGAAACAAACTGCGAAGTTGGATTTTTTTTAAGGGAAGCAACGCCGTGTCAAAGCGCGCGCGATGAATAATGAAACGGGCCCGGCCCACTTGGAACGCAGAGCGTGGCGGCGCTGAACATGCACGGGAGAACGCGCTAGGTGGCGGTCGTACGGGGACGCAAGGTGTTGCCAGTCCGTACTCCCCGAGGCGAACGCTCATAATTTGGCCTCAAATCTTGCTTCGGAGATGGGGAAAATGGGAGAGAAGTTTTCCTAGCTCTGCGTTAGGTTATGGTATAGTGGCGCATCTTGGGACTGAGATAAGTTGGATCTGAAGGCACACCCATGCCTCCTTCCAGAGCCTCACCCATCAATATACCATTCAGCTGAAAGGTCTGCTGAAATAATTATGCATGATTACAAACAAAAGGCTGACGAAACAAGTTGTAAAAACAGTGGTACAAAATGTAGTCATGAGATTAGGGTTGAATTAATCGTTTTTGAAATAAGACGGCCTGTAACAAATTCGAATATAGGCCTACATGTATATTTTGCAGTTTTCAGGTGGAAAAGGATCTTTTTTTCAAAATTGGATATTTTTTACAGAGACTTTTGAAGTTGAATATAGAGTATTCTATTTAACCCCAAGCACACATTTTGGTAATCGATTACAGTTTTGTGGATAATAATTTGCCTTGTAAACTATCCTCCACTAAAAAAGATGCACAATTTAATGAATCAAATTCCCAGTAGAGTGACTGGGATTCAATTTGAAGAAAGGGGGGGGGGGGGGGGGGTTGTTAGAGGGCCTCTTTTTGAGGGGGTTATATAATACAAACTTACTTTCACCTTCGCATTAAACTCTGAGCAGGTGGAGGGGCATGAGACCCCGTCCCCAATGCTTCCAATGCCCCTCTCCTTACGCCTCTGCAATTTTCTCCCACCAAAATTGCCTTATGTAGAGAAAAAAAAAGTGCAATGGAAATTCGGTTATAGTTTGGCAGAATTTGAAAGACTGCAAATGTTTGTCACATCCCTGAACAATCATTTACCGAATTGCTCATGGAGTCAAAGTTATAGAAATGGCGGCTGCGCGTCCGTGCACATGCCACACGTGCCTTTCAAAACTTTGCAAAAGAAATGAAAAGGATTCTATTTAACACGATAGACAACAGAAAGGAATGCGGGAATGTGAAACTCTCCAAGCCTCCACAAGGTGCTGGAGTGAGGTGACCAGTTGGACCATTGCAGGGATGTTTACATGTTTTGTTTTTCTTCAGACGTGAAACCCCACGTTTGAAACGGAAAGTGTACATTCCGTTGTAAGACAGCCACATGTCCAGATTGGATGCTATGTACATGTACGTTGTTAGATCTACGCTATTAGTGTAAACTGGGAGAACTTTGAGGCCGAGGACTGAGGGTAATGTTTTGCGCAGTTCTGTCCTGAGAACTTCACATCTACCGTCTTGTGGTTTTGGGAGTATTTGGTGCTGGACCATTATAAACACGTGGGAAAATGCTTGGCCAAAGTGGACTCTAATTCTTGAATGCAAGGTCGCATGGAGGTGAGTGTACTGCACGTCGACCAAAATTGCTAAAAAAATACATGTAGTTATTCAGTTGACAAATTGACTGCTTCGTGTGGTGGAATGAAACCTTCTTGAACAGTCTCGAGAAGTCAAAACAGCTCCCCTGTATGCACGGACTTTATTGTCAGAACCCATTGTGTGCCTCCCTCCAAAAAGGGGAATGAGCCCTCAACGGGTTCGAAAAATAAAAGCTCAGTTTTACATTCGCCCAAAGTTTCTTAGGAGTGGCTCCATTTTTTTTG